CAGGGTTTCTTACGAACAAGCGAAAACCAATATTAGGTGTGGTGGACTCCCCATGTGGCCGTGAAGCGCCGTATTGACTGTGGCTAGCGAACGCATATAACCATCCTACACACATTTAACATGGAATTTCCTATAGACCGTATTCGGTGTGGCAAACGTATGTGGCCACCCTCATGAGAATTTTACGTGGGATTCTCTTTGCGGGGCCACGAATTGCCGCATTAGGTGTAGTGGACGCATATGGCCGAGCCCATGAGGGCCACGAAACCTTGCATTAAAAATTGCAAGCGCATGTGCTACCCGGAGAAGGAAACACATGCGGGAAAAGAAGAAGATGCAAGGACCCCTTCTTCACCAGAAAATTGAAAGGCTCAACGCCGCAAAATTATTGAGAAATACAGGTTTGGGCATCGTTAGTGAGGGCATTTTGAGCATGCTAATTGCCTGCGACTGCCCTCGTTCAAGTTTAGGGCAGGAGGGTTAGGAGAGGTGCCCAAATCCCTCCCAAAAGCAAAAGAAAAAATGTGGGAGGGGTAAAGCTTATCCACAAGAAGATTAACTACTTTGATTTTATTTACTTTTTTGTAATTAAATCTGCAATACTTATCCGTGAGACAAAAAACGAAGATGAGTCGGGACACCTTTAGAAATACATGACACAAATGCGCAATGCCACCAAAATGACATCGCGTTCTTTCCCAATTTGTCGCACTTAGCCGGGCGGGAATGTGTGTAACGGAAATCGTTGTCTTAAAACGAACAAAGCCGCTGCATGTTTTGAATACTTGTATTTCTTGTCTTGTGATCTTGGCATTGACATTGTTAGATTACCCGTGATGTATAGTTTCAGTTATTGCAGAATTTCGTATCCTTCTTGGTACATACATTCAAATTTCAAATGCCCAACGTCGGTTTTGGAATCCTGCCAATGTGATCGTATTGTTTCTTATTCCATCCACATTGAGAATCATTTGGTGAAGGTGTGTTCGTATTACATATTAGAATTTAAGAGGCGAGTGCATCTGTACCCCACTTCTTGTTGATAACGTGAACGGACGAGGGTGGAATAGTGATTTGCAACTTTCATAAATCACGCGTGCAATTGGAATGCGCTATTAACACCACACGCCTTCATTAAGCAATGCGACAAGGCGCTGAATCAATGCACCACAATCACGACATGTTACGTGTAGGCGTTCCCGTTGAAGCCTCAAGTGGGTTCTTCTTTTGATGCAAATTCGAAATGCGCAGAAAAATGCGCCACAATAGAATGAGGCCCGCCGTGCGGACTTTGCCGCTAGGGCCTTTGGTGGAGGCTCACATGGGGCCATACGACTAGGGAAAATGGGCCGACGCAGTGCTGTGCCATCATGCGAATATTTTGGGGGTTCGTCGGGATACGGGAGCCGCAGACAAAATGAACATGTTACTAAGGAAATTGCCTTGCATCAGTGTGGAAGCAAAATATGGTTTACCGACACACGCAACCCAAAGAATGTACACATAATCCCACACGATGCCGGTTGTGGAATGTGCCAACATATTCAGAAGTATATCAGTCTTGAATCCAATGGTGAACGCTCGCGCTGTTTTACTTCTGAATTCGGCAAGGCTGGCATTATTGGTGTATTACGAATATATTCGACGATCGAATTGTCATTCCAGTACAAGCGGTGGGCACGCAACGTAATTCGCCAAGGCCGTATAATTTTCGATATATTGGCGCAAGCAAGCGCCTGCACGTTCCGACGATGATTCCCCTTAATTGGCCTAGACATATCTACAACGACTGTCTTACGCAAGTGCATGCACGATTAATGCCGCTGTGAATTTACACCGAACTGTTTTGTTGTTCACGCCCCCAAGCGTGCACGGTAAACAAATGAATTATTGTGAACATGTTGCAGGAAACAATGTGCCCACGACACATTGCAAAACCATCCCCACCATAATTCAATGTTTGCGGTCCCGCTCATCCAATTATGCTGGACGAACTTATGTTCGCAATGGTTGCCCCCATGTGCCAACCCGAATGTGTAGCCTCTCATTCTGGTCGATGCCTGCAACCATTTTGGCCCAAGCGCTCGGCCGATTTTCAACGACAGTTGAGCACAAAACTTAGCTTTTGGTCAATGCTCCCTCGACGCCGCGCGACGGCGGGCCAGCAAAATGCTACATGGACACGATCTCCTCGGCCCGCACCTCGCGCTGCAAGCGGAGGAGGCCAAATTCGATGGGGGCTCTCGCGCATGAGGGGGAAATCGCTGACCTCGGCGTGGAGGAAACGCGGCAGCTGCTGAAAAAGTTTGTAGACCTGGCCGTGGCTGAAGAACCCACGCAAAAGCGTCTGCAAGCATGCCGCGGCTGCCCTGAACGGGCCATGCTGGAAGACGCTGCGGCATGCTTCCGACCGACGGGCGACCAAAGCACAGCCGAGGCCCCGCCTGTGCGATGGCGAAGACTCGCTTTGCACGGAAGTGCTGCGAAGTCTCGCCTAATCGCACTGTTCGAGTAGATGGGGGCGCCCCGCCTCGAGATGGCGCACGCATGCGTAGACCCGGAGCGCGCGAAAGGTGGCAGCGTAGGCTGCGCGCATCAACGCGGGGAGGTCGTGCGTGCGGGCCATGGAGACGATGCGCACATGGCTCTTGCGCGCGCGGGGCCCGCGGCCCGTGGCGATCGCGCATCCTTGGAGGCCGAGCCGCGTGGGCCGACGGTGCCCAACCAAACCCTCCGCGCCTCGGCATGGACGGAGCGGATCGCGAGTGTCGGTGCGAGCGACAGGTCCCCAGCTCGGCCGGAAGCGCAACGGGCCGGCGCGAAAGTAGGGATGCTCCTCGGCGAAGGGGCCGACGGCGGGGGCATGCAACGCATTTCATCGGCACGTTCGTCAGGGCCTTGGGTCAGAAGCCGGGCGAAGGCTGGCAAACCCGTGGCTGCTGACGCGGAGCTCCTGGAAGTGGATTTCTCTTTCCAAGGAGCAGCCCATATACTATCTCCAGTGCGTCGAGCTCTCTTCCGGGGATTTGCCTTCTTGCTCCGGGAAGGCCGTGTTAGCAGTCGCGGACTTGCCGGCCCTCGCCCAGCTTCCGATTGGAGCGGCTGGTCATGGGCGACGGCCTCGCGCCGTGCCTGCGCGGGGTGGTGCGGTCTCGCCTCGTCAGAATGCGGCCCGTGCGGCGCTGCGGCGACCGCGGCCGGCTCCTGCCGCCGCGCCTCGCCGTCGCGGGCGGCGGGCTGGCGGCGGCGCGGAGGCGCGCGAGGACTGGCGGGGCAGGGCGCGAGATGCCGGAGCTGCCGCTCGTGGTATCCCGCGAGTGCTGCGAGCTGGGCCCAGCGTGGATCAGGACGGGCTTCGATCTGTGGCAGGATATCGCGAATTTCGAGAGAAAGGCTACTTCTGGGCGAATTGCGACGACGCTGGGCCCAGGGCCGAGGCATTGGCAGCAGGTCCAGGAGGTGCTCTGGAGGATGCTGAAGCCATCGCCGTGCAGAGGGGAGGAGGTCGAGCTTCTCCTCTCCGAAGAGGTTGTGGGATTCTGGACAGTACTCGGACCGGGCGGCGATATCCTCGGCCATGGCGGCATCGGGGGTCTCCTCGAAGAGCGACCGCGATTACCTGGGCAAGTGGTCGCCGGAGGGGGCGGGCACCTTCGCGAAAACGTACCGCGCAGTCGTGACGAAGCTCTAGCAACAATTCGCGGATGTGCAGCGTTCAATGGAAGTCCCACGTGGCGCTGGATGCGTCAGCGGCCATCCTGGGTCGATCCGGTGAACTGGCTGGCGCCGTGGAAGAACTTCTCGGTGCAGAAAGCGGCGAGCGCGGCGGCCGAGTCTGCGCGGCCCTGGAGGCCTCCGCGGGCGGTTTGGCGACGGCGCGCCAGGACAACGAGGGCGAGCCGGGCGGGGCAACGACCCCAGAGGTCGCTGTTGAAGATGGGGAAGCGGATGTCGTCGTACCATCGGTGGGCATGACGGCGCTGTCACGAAGAGCGCCGCAAGCGGATCTCGGACGCGACGGCTATGACGAGGGCAGCTGGGCGAACATCCAGGTCGGCGACGGAGAGAGAAAGCCCCCTTCGAGAGCAAGGCCGCCGAGGTCGGCAGTTACCTCATCGTGTACATGAAGAAACACAAGTTGGCCAAGCTCCGCAACGTCGGGGGCTGGGGCTGGTCGAACTGTAGGTAGGTCACCGATGAACTCGACCTGCTTCGACGATCTGCCAGACCAGAAAATTATCCCGGCAAAACAACCTAACAGCGATGTGTGGGAGCATACCTGGAAACATTCCCCTTAAGATTCAGACGAGAATCCAGTTGTAGAGTTCTGCTGTTCTCGCAGTCGCAGTCGCATTCGCGATGACAGTTGTAGTGGCAACGGCAGTCGCAGTCACAGCCTCAGCCTCGGCCTGCCTCAGCCTCAGCCTCAGCCTGCCTCAGCCTCAGCCTCAGCCTGCTTCAGCCTCAGCCTCAGCCTGCCTTCAGCCTCGGCCTCAGCCTCAGCCTGCCTCAGCCTCAGCCTGCATCAGCCTCAGCCTCAGCCTCAGTCTCAGCCTGCCTCAGCCTCAGCCTCAGCCTGCCTCTGTCTCAGCCTCAGCCTGCTTCAGCCTCAGCCTCAGTCTGCCTTCAGACTCGGCCAGCTCCTGCCTTGGCCTCAGGCCTGCCTCTGCCTCAGCCTCAGCCTCAGCATGCTTCAGCCTCAGCCTCAGTCTGCCGTCAACCTCGGCCTCAGCCTGCCTCAGCCTCAGCCTCAGCCTCAGCCTCAGCCTGCCTGAGCCTCAGCCTCAGCCTCAG